TTGCGTTTTTTTTTTTTTTTTTTTTTGTCAAATATTTCATCTCCGTGCTGCGTCACGATTTATTGCATACGGAGAAACTATTCTACTTTACTATATTACATCTAAATATATATATATATATATATCGCCAATCGTTTATCACAAACCATTTGCTGATCTTCTCTTTTTACAACATAGCAAATAGGATTTTTTTTACTAATTGATAAAAACAATTATGTATCATCTTTGTATATTATACAAGATAAGAAGCAGAAATGTATATTGTTGAAATTTTGTATACTGTTTTTGTAAAAACGCGTTATTAAAAATATGTCAACTTTATCTTTCAGGTTAAATTGAATATTATATGTTGTTTTTTTAAGCGTTTTATAATAAGAAGGAATAATTTATTGTTTACGATTGTATTTTTGTATAACGGAAACGAATTCACACTTTATTGTTTCATTTTGGATATATAGATATTCTGGAACTATTGCCTGCTCCTCTTTAAAGATCAGTGATAAAAGCTTAATAGCTTGTGCACCGTCATGTAATTGCTCTTTCCTTTTCTCGTGATTGATGTATCGATTAACTGCTCGAACAATCGACTCGATGCAATAAATTCGATTTAACCTCAGCCGTACTCGATCTTGACATAATTCCACCAATAGGTACCGTGTACTATACCACAGATAACCATCGATTATTCTATTGAGCCAATGAAATATTAAGTGATACTTGTATAAAATATATATGTATATGACGTCACTATGCTCTTGCGAGGGCTAAGGACCGAGAAAGAGGATGTGTGTGTGTGTGTGTGTGTGTGTGTTTTGATAAACGAATTTATATATATGAGAGTATTCAGCCACAGATAAAAGAAAATTTTAGAAATAATTTTAGATGATAAAATAAGAAAAATCAACAATAACAAAATTGAAGACTTGGTTTCTTAATTATAAATATTCGCGCAAAAAGTGCTCGAAGCATGGCAATTCGATCTATAGCAAGCGTAAGCAAGAATAAAACAATGAGGCGCATATAGATATAATCGCTGTTTCAAATTTAAAAATTTTTTAAGCATAAGAATTAAAGAATTTAATACTGAATTTATTACATGTATGATAAAATTATTTTTTTATTTTTAAAGTTGCATTTTTGAAAAAAAAAAAAAAATAAAGGAAATATAGAGTTTGGTACGAATATTGCAAATGTACGTTAAGGTACGTACACATAAAACGAACATACCTAAGAATACGAATATTTACTCTTTAAGTACAAAAAATGTATGTACTATTGTGAATGTGAATAGAATAGCAATGCTCAATTCATTATTTGGATCGATTTGTGTTTTCCAATTTTATTTAATAAAAATTCAAGTAATCTTTGAAGATTTTATAAAAATTTTAGAATTATCTTATACATTCTTTCTTTAAATCAAGTCGTATGTAATACAGATGAAGAGATCATCTCCTCCTCTCTCCTTTAATGTAATAATATCATTCACCCTCATCTTTCTTATCTTTTTTTTTAATTATTAATTATAATAAAACTCACACTTACAGTAATTATCGCATCATTCAATATTTTTTACATTTATTATATAACAATTGCTACCCCCCCCCCAAATTTTGATTGAACCTAATTGAATATGAATGTTTGATTTGAACGCAAAAAGAAACAAACAAATACAAAATGTTCAAATATTCATGTTCATTGTTTTTTTCATTATTCGTTCGTTATATGTGTACCCACCTTTATATAAACGTGCGCAAACACTATATCTCGAGTGTTGCCAGCATCCAAAGTGCGTCAGAAACGCTGCGGGCCTGGTCGCTGTCTCTGATGTTTATTGGTACTGGGGAGTATCCACTACACATACTAAAATTAATGATAGCTTATTTAGATTATAGTCTGCGAACGTAGTTAGTTTCCAGTAATCTATCGCAACCTGCTCACACCTCTTAAGCAAGACTTTCAAGTCGTTGAACAAACTAAAAGTGTAAAATTAATAAATCAGCTATTAATAATATACAATTTTAATTTATGAGAACAGTTCAAATATCACACATCAATAATTCGTTTCTCAAATTGCAAAATATAAAAAATTGGACATGTAGTTCAAAAAAAGATATATATATATATACATATATACACACACACACACACACACACACACACACACACAACAAATAATAA